TCATCCAACTTAGATTCTTTGTAATTATTGTAATGCAATGGTTTCTTGCTTTTCAAATCGAGGGATCCTAACATGACTCGCATCAATATAATAATACTTGTTAAGGTAGTCAATAAAACATTCAAAATTTACGATGTTTTTTCCTTTTCTTTAAAAAAAAAAAAAGACACCCTCGTTAGCGCCGGAGACTTTCATTTCAACTGGTTCCCACGGACTCACGGCGTTTACTGACAAAAACTACATGTTTTTCATCGCGCAGAAAATATATAGAATAAACAAAACAGAGAAGCTGGACCATGTTTACAAGGTTTTTTCCGATATTTTCATTAAAAGGGTTCGGTTAATCCGCTGAAGGATTAACCGAACGCCTTCCTCAAAGAGTCACGTAAAATATATTTCTTCATGACGCGATTAATATGCAACAGACAAACTGAAAATATACTAGAGAATATTTAGTTGTAATAGCTAAGCATCTAGCGGTTATTAAAGTGGTTTTAGAGCTTTATTTGTTCTTAATTTGTTTTTTTAATTTAATGACTCGTCGTCAGTTATATTAATACGTGGTTAAACGTTAAAATTAAGTATCAACTGTACCAAATCGAGATGGATCCAGTGGTAAACAATTTTTAAAGTCAGCTCACGNTAAGGAACATTTCATTTTCATTTTAGTGAGGCAAGGGCTTGGAAAACTTCATGGTTTTACCCTGTTTTAGCCTCAGATACAGCAAAATACAGAAACAGGCAAAGCCCATAAATCTTAACGTATTTATTTATCCTTCAGTCATCCAACTTAGATTCTTTGTAATTATTGTAATGCAATGGTTTCTTGCTTTTCAAATCGAGGGATTCTAACATGACTCGCATCAATATAATAATACTAGTCTTGTTAAGGTAGTTAATAAAACATTCAAAATTTACGACAATGTTTTTTTTCTTTTCTTTAAAAAAAAAAAAAAACACCCTCGTTAATGCCGGAGACTTTCATTTCAACTGGTTCCCACGGACTCACGGCGTTTACTGACAAAAACTACATGTTTTTCATCGCGGAGAAAATATAAAGAATAAACAAAACAGACAAGCTGGACCATGTGTACAAGGTTTTTTTCCGATCTTTTCATTAAAAGGGTTCGGTTAATCCTTCAGCGGATTAACCTAACCCCTTCCTCAAAGAGTCACGTAAAATATATTTCTTCATGACGCGATTAATATGTAACAGACAAACTGAAAATATACTATAGAATATTTAGTTGTAATAGCTAAGCATCTAGCATTTATTAAAGTGGTTTTAGAGCTTTATTTGTTCTTAATTTGTTTTTTGTTTTTTTAATTTAATGACTCGTCGTCAGTTATATTAATACGTGGCTAAACGTTAAAATTACGTATCAACTGTACCAAATCGAGATGGATCCAGTGGTAAACAATTTTTAAAGTCAGCTCACGATTTCGACACGTGAAGTCTCTAACCAAGACATTAAAACGTAGTACACTGGAACCTCGATACAACGAAGGGCCATGGAACTGGCAAAATAGGTTCGCTATAATGAGGCTTCGTTGTATCGTGGTTCTTTTTACAATACACTGATATATTTTACTATTACTGGGGGGAGGAATATGGTTCATTATGCCGAGGACTTCGTTATATAGAAGTCGGTTAAGTCGAAGTTCCACTGCATATGTAACCTTTATCCACTTTATTAAGTTATGTTTTGCCATCTGATCATCTTAGTGCCATCTTGATTGTGTCAACATGATTAGCGAGTTATGGGTTCACCAGTTTCCTAGCCGATTTTCGAAGTTTAATTTTAAAAGTTTGAGGGCTGTTATATTCTTTGTCATCTTGTCTTTGTCTTTGTTAGTGAAAGCTGCACTGGAAGTAAACGAAACTAGACTACACAAGGAGCTGTTCAAAGGATACAACAAACACACGCACCCCAGACTACCCGGGACAGGTCCAGTGACGGTCACTTTTGATTTTCAACTCATACGTATTCTTGATGTGGTGAGATTTTACAACCTTTAATTAACCACGTCTGTTTATATACTGGTAGAGTCGCGTGTTTTTCATGCAATATGCATTAATCTGCACCATGTTTATCACTTATACGCCCAGTACCCATACAGACTGTATATTAAGAGGTGTAATATAAATTTTGTCTATGAGGAGTTTCTCTTTGTAAAATGGTTAGAGGTGGTGGCGGAAGGGAAAGACCAGGCTTGAAAGCGTGGTGGGAATTTCAGTAGCGACATATGCATTGGGTACATAGAAACTCTCACTTACAGAACAGTGCTAAACGTACATTCTTGCCAATGTAAAGATTAGGGCAACCGTCATTTGGATTAAATGAATTGTGAGAGATGCGAGAAAGAGAGATGAAGAAATTCTGGCAAAAATTACACGATTACAAATAATCGAGGCTGAATCAAACTGATTTCAACCCTGATCACACCTTGACCAACGTATTTCAGTAGTAACGCACTCTCTCCTACTGTAACTACAAGTTGTGGGGCGTTAAAACTCAGTACCTCGATCTTGTTACTACTTATCTTGCAACATTGTTTAGGGCATGGTGGTCTTTATTTTGTAACAAATGTGACGCATTCTAACATTATGGAGTTTCGGCAAGGGTTTAGCAACTTTGGCGATGTGCTGTGATCAGAGGATCTAGATCTTCTCCCAATCAATACTTATCGACTTTCATATGCGGGAGTCGAAAGTTTACTAAGATCATAAACCCAGTGAACTAGCAAAATCCCTTCCTTGCACTTTGATGAAAAGTTCAGATGAGAGCGAAAGTTTGACTTGATTCTAGCTTGCCTAGCAAGCGTTGCTGTACAATTCCTACCCCAATTTGAGCGCGTCCAGAGTGCAGAGAAATTTTTCCTTCCGTACGGGCAAGCTTGTCGCACATGCAGGCTGTCTGCTGTCATACCTAGCCCTTGTGAAACCTGTCCTAACGGCGGATTCTGACTGACTCCTGATTTCTTATCAACAGAGCGCGAGAAGTCAGTACATCATCACCTATGCGTGGGTGAACCAGGTCAGTCAACTGGGCTTCGTTCCCGTACGCCTAAAGAAACTTATGGTTACCATAATTGATCGTGACTGAAGTTTGCACAACCAAACAATCAAAGTCAATGCTGTCGGCTTTCTTGTCCTTGGCGAACTCGTTTTAATTTCAAAATGCAGATCAAAATGTGTTACAGACTCCAAAAACCGCCATTAAGATCATGGTATTAAGACATCAGACATATCGAAAGAGAAGTCTAAAATTTTTGTTTCCTTGAGAAGTTCGTCTTTGTGACGAGAGGCCGAACTCGAAAGGCGAGTCATTGAAAGTTTAAACAGAACTGAAATTCCGAGATATCCTCTGATACTCTGGGGATTATAACTTTGTTATCTTTACCAACTATCGATGGTTCGGTGGAATACGCGGAGTGCGGAGTGCGGAGTTGGAGTGCAGAAAATGAGGAGTGTGGAAAATGAGGAGGGTGGAAAATGCGGAGTGTAGAAAATGCGAAGTGTGGAAAATGCGAAGTGTGGAAAGCATGGAGTGTGGAAAGTGCGGAGTGTAGAAAATGTGTAGAAAATTTCAATTTTCCATTTCAATTTCCATGGAAATTCCACGTAATGTCCATGCTGAGTGTGGAAAACGAGGCGTGCGTAATATGAAAATTAACAAATAATCTTTAATTCCGTTATATTCTCATTGAAAGAGTATTTTATAATATCGTGACACATGCGTGTAAATTAAAGAAATCAATGCGCGTAGCATTATTGTGAATTAACAATGTTAACAATCGATCCATTCTCTTTAAAAGCGGGATGTATCCTTTCATTTTCATGGCTAAATCGTACAATATTAATTCTAGCTATAAAGAAAACAAAAGAATAGGTAAATATACGAATTCAATGCGCGTAGCATTACTGTGAATTAACGATGTTAAGAATCGGTCGATTTTCTTTTAAGCGACGCATCATCGCATTTTCATGGCTAAATCGAACAATATTTCTTTGAAGCTCTAAAGAACAGAAACCAATAGATAAATAAAAGATTGAAATCAATTCGCTTAGCATTATTGTGAATTCACGATGTTAACAATCGATCCATTCTCTTTAAAAATGGGATGCATCCTTACATTTTCATGGCTACATCGAACAATGTTTTTGGTAGCTAAAAGTTGAAATCAATGCATGTAGCATTATTGTGAATTAACGATATTAACAACGAGTCCGTGTTCTTTCAACATTTCCCTCTGGCCTTCATCAAGTGATTGGCAGGTACCGAGGTCGATTAGTACACGGCCGACAAAAACAGGGGTTTCTCGCCTAATATGCGCAGGGTTGGAATGGTGATAGGTGTTGGTAAAGTCTGTGCTGTACACTAGCGCCCCTGTGTTGTCGTCCCTGCCTACCACACACCGATCCACGTGCTTGACCACGATTTTGTGTGGTGGCTGACGAATTTTTTCTGCGAACATGTCACCGCATCCGTAGCACTTTTTAACATTTGTTGACAAGGCCACGAGGTAATACNTGATTGTACGTAAGCCTCAGTTGTGACTATGTACTTGCACCTGAACGTCCTTAGTAAATAAACACTACTGTAATCCCAGTAGCCGCTGGCTCCCTATTTTTTAAATCAGTTTCTGCTGGCTTTCCGAAACGATATTATATTTATGAATAGCTGAAATCCAAATCTTAAACAGTGTGCAAGGTCTGTAAACAGTGTGCAATAAAAAAACTGAAATGAACTGAAACTGAACTAAGTGATGCAGTTTTAAAACGATTGAAAGGCAAGAATTACAGGTCAGTAAATCTTCCCTATATTTAGCTTGGAGGCGAGAGGCACACAAAATCCATCTTCTTTGTAAAATTCCTTAAAGAAAAACAATTAAAACCAATCAAACCGTAAATAGCAGCTTAACTTCTTGACTTTTCCTGAAAGTTATTAGTCTTTACAAGGTCATCAGTCAACATCAGATCGTTTCAGGGGAAGAGTAAAGCTATTGTTGCCGGTATCTTTTAATTTAAATTATTTTCCCATTTAATTAACATCATAACAAGCGCATATTGACCAGAACGTAGCAGTCGGTCTAGTTTCTTTGTGTTTGATATCATGATGACAGAAACTGATGTCACTGTGATACCTAAGGACTTCATGACCTTCTTTTCTTGTCCTAAACAGGGTCCGTAGTAAAAATAGAAGGTGTTGTCCTACACGGGGTAGGGTTCGTAGAGTTTTTTTTTTTTTGTCCTAAACAGGGTCAGGATTTCGAACCCTCGGTGACACCCATATACCCAAACATGGGACATCTTTATTCCAGGTAGCCTAAAGGCCTTATCCTTAGAAGAGCTTGCAAAAATTCTAAATCCATAAATTTAGTATGTCTTCCTTTTCTCTGTTTTCATTACAGCATAGATGAAGAGGAACGTATAGGAGGTGGTAGGACCACGTATACAACTAATGTAGCAGTGCAGCACGATGGAAGCAACACGTGGTTAAACCCCGCCATGTTCAAGAGCATCTGTAGTGTGGATGTCACAAACTTTCCTTTCGATGACCAGGAATGTCTGCTCAAATTTGGCTCTTGGGCTTTCGATAAATCGAAGATCGATTTAGCAGTGAAAAACGGCAGCACCCTTAACAGCTACTACATCAAAAATGGCGAATGGCAACTGCTGAATTTGTCTGTGAAGAGGAACGCTCTGAAATATCAGTGCTGTCCGCACGAGTTTGTGGATGTGTCAATAAATGTGCATATCAGACGGGAATCACTGGATTACATCCTAAAGTTGATTATTCCATGCTCACTGATCTCTTCCATGATATTTTTAGGGTTTGTTCTACCACCTGAGTCCGGTGAACGCATTGGACTGAGTATCACAGTTCTTTTGGCCATGACGGTGTTTCAACAACNAAATATGGGGGTCACCAAGCTCGTTTTTGAGCTATTAGCAGTCAAGGTCTTTCGCGCCCATTGCTTCTACGCATCCTTATTACGCACGAAAATTCATATCGCAACGTCACGCTACGTCATACATCAAGCTCGCCCTAAGGAAGAAATAAAAGCAAGTAAAGATCGTTTTTACTGTCACGCAGTAAAAAATAAAACGAAAACTATTCAGTTGATAAAGTCAAGATATTGTGATCTTATAGCAAATAGATAGATAAGACACTTCTCAAAGTTTAAGGTTTGTGCGTTTTCCCAGACTGCAGATATTTGTCTAAATGTTTCGCAGAAATTTACAGAGCCCAGCATGGAAACGCCATGTTGGTGCACCTCTGGGGTGCACCAATATGGCGGCCGGAAAACAGGGTAGACATCTGGAACTTACTATGGCTCTCTAGGTGACTGATTATTTGTACTGAACAAACAAACATTTACATCGAAGCACTTTTCCTAATGATCTAACTTCTAAAAAAGCTAAAAATCATGAGATAGGTATATATTTTATGACAAATGCGATTGTAGCTTTGTGTCACGCACCGCCATAACTCTGAAATTCAAAATACGCTGGTTTTCAAACGAAGCACACTATTGAGCTTTTCATTTTCGATTTTAGAAAATGATGACGTCTCATGAAAACGATCTATACATAGGGCTGGGTACCGGTTGTGCAATTTTCACCTGTAGTTTACTCCCTTCCATTACTAATTTTCACCATTTTAACAAAAAAACTTGTACGTGAGAAGTTCCAAATATTTCTCCTTTTCTACTCTTGTGAGACCGAAGTTTTTTCGAATGTGAAGGGGTAAGACTAATATGTATTATTTCTCAAGGCTTATTCTACTTCAAGTAAGACATAAACTGTAAAAGTTAACTTTGTGGACTTTGTGTACGTTTACCTGATCTAAATTTTACTGATGTAGATTCGTTTATTGCTGATAGTTGTAAGCTAAGATCTTCTTAAAATTTTTAAAGCTTCTAAAATCCGGCAAAAGTTGATCTTTACCTGAGGACATGGCAATTACGTGGGAACATTTTGGGCGCGAACGGCTTAAAAATTAAAGGTGTTTTTAGCAGGTCCGGTACTTTTGCAATGGTAACACGAAAATGATAACGTGTTCACCAATGATTGGGCATTTTTTGATACCATGATTGCAACATCAACTGGTAAAAGTGGTAATAATGACCCATCAAAATCTTGGTCATCAAAGTCTTGGAAAGTGCTGGAAAGTGTTGCCAGTCACCTTAAATACTTCAAATACTTCAAATACTTATTTCAACAGCAAGTATAATACCGCAGTACGTTTACGCTATGGTGTTTGTTGCAAATGATGACTCCCGCAGTGGCGGCTCCACACGTTGAGCTAAGGGGGGGGGGGGGGGGGGGGGTTTTTT